CCCGCCCGCCTCGGGCCACGCGCCCTCCGCCCCGCCCGCGCCGCCCAGCAGCCGCTCACGCCCTGCCGCGCACACAGCACGCAGGGCACGCTCAGCACGGGCGAAGAAGTAGTCAAGAGGTGGGATGAGGCCAAGCGGAAGATAAAGAAGGGCAAAGGGCCAGTAGTGTTACAACAGCACATTGAAGAGGAAAGAAAAAAAGGAAGGATATAAGTCAAAAGATGGGAAAAGGGAAAGGGGGAAGAAGAAGAAGAAGAAGAAGAAGAAGAAGGAGGAGGAGGAGGAGGAGGAGAAGAAAAAGGAAACATGAAACAAACTAGTGGTGTTACAACAGCACATAGTTTGAAGATAAAAGAAAGAAGGAACGAAATGGGAAGAGGGAATAGGAGAATAAGAAAAAGAAGAAGGGTAAAAGGAACATAAAAAAAAGGAATCAAACTAGTGGTGTTACAAAAGCTCATAAACCGGAGAGAAAAGAAAAAGGAAGGAAAAGTCGAAAAATAGGAAGTAGGAAAAGGAAGGGGTAATGAAGCAAAATGGAAAAGAGAACAAACTAATGGTGCTACAACAGTACATAGATTGATGAGAAAAGAAAAAGGGAAAAAGGAAAAGGCGAAGGAGGGAAAGAAAACAGTAAAAAACTACCACAAAATATACTTTATCGCATTGTTTCTTAAATTTGCAATTTCCGAAAATTCCGTGTTTAACGAAATTTAAATCACGCGCCATGCTTTTAAGCGTCCTTTCTTCTATCCATGGGAAAAAAATAAAGAACAAATTTTGAGTGCTTTTTGAGAAAACAATTTTTATCGAAATGCATAAATTTCAAGTGCCAATTGCATAAATTTCAATCAAAGTTCTGGGAAGTGCACGTCAGCATTGCCCCTACAAATTAGTTGATAACTTTAATCTGTTACTCTGAGAATTGAATATGTTTGCCATACTTCTTGGATGTCCGGGTGGCGCCGCGTTGTTGGATGAGAGGCCTCTCAGCCAACGACGCGGCGTCACCCGGACAGCTCAGAAGTCGTGAACTCGAGCCGCGGAAGCCTACGTGTACAACGAAAGAGACGACTTCTTGGCTGTCCGGGTGATGCTGCGTCAGGGTAGTGCTCACTACCCTGAAGAAGCCTGCGATATGACAGGCGAAACGTCGGCCTCTCAGCCAACGACGCGGCGTCACCCGGACAGCCAGGCAGTCACGAACTCTACCCTCGGAAGCTTACGTTGACATGCTTACCATACACTCGCCGCTGATGGGATCCTCCTGTCCCGTGATGGCCATGCGCTGGGGCCGATGACTCGTCGGCTGAGCTGGAACGACTCACCACTTCGGGGTACCTGCACCGCAGACCACAACACGAAAATTAACCTTTTGTCGTTCGTGCGCGAAATATTCACTTCAGCCCTCACACGTTGGATTCTACCAAACGAATAGTTCTAGTAACGTAAGTATATTTTAGTCATCATGGGTTGATTGTCTAATTTTACCGGCTGTCTAATTTTACTGGTGTTCCCCATGGCTGGGTCTACTTAATTCCCACGCTTGAAAGTTAAGAGAGACATGTGTTGAGGATAACGTACACCCCTCACCGTAACTAGCAAATTCCTGTCAGAGCATTTATTATGGCATATTGCCAATGATAACGTTATTATATAGATATTTGTAAGTTTCCGTGAATTCGTGCTGGAAAATGCTGTGTGATACACGTAGGAAAGTGTTTTTGGCGTACTCATTTAAAAGGGCCGGGCTCGACCCGTCTTGTGACCTCGTCCGTCAATATTTATTTCATTCGTATGCCAAATCAGTAATGGGACGGGATTAGGTTACTTTAGATTATGTACGATGAAGTTGTTCAAAAGCGGAACTTTGGCGTACTCACTTCAAAATGCTGGACTCGGCTCCTGCAGTCGCCTCGTTCATCAACATTTCATTCGTATCCCAAATTAGTAACACCGGATTATTATCGAAAGGAAGTCTTTAGCGTACTCATTTCAAAATGCTATACTTGGTACCTCTCGCAGCCTCGTCCGTCAATATTTTATTCGTATGCCAAATTAGTCTTTCTAATAGTACAGTTAGCCTTTTGCGTATTCATTTCAAATGCCGGACTTGACTACTCCAGACGCCTCGTCTGTCAAAATTTCATTTTTATAGCCAATACACGCTTTTTGTACTAATCGAGCGGAAAAGTAATATTACTAATTTGGCACACGAATTCAATATTAAGGACCGAGGCGACGAGAAAAGCAGAGCCCAGCCTTTTGAAATGAGTACGCTAAATACTCACTTTATTTACCAGCGACGTATATAATATTTTGTGAGTGTTGCTACCACTTCCAAATCAGGGGCTATCGCCGAGCCGTGTTGTTAGCTCACCGTACTGTTTTGTAAATATTTCTAATGAGGGACCATTGCCAACTTGTGCCGTGTGCATGCTCGCCCGGGCAGCACGGGCGCGGAGGAAGGTGTGGCGACGGTGAGTCAACTGCAAATCGTTCGTACGCCAAAAGCGTGCTTGCTCTTCTCGGGCGATGAGAAGAGTCGAGTCTGGCGCTTTGAAATGAGTACGCCGAGTACGCTCGTTGTTTGTATTAGTGCCGCAAGTAACTACTTTGTGAATAATGAGGGGCTGTCGCTGAGTTGTGCCGTGTTGTTAGCTCACCCGGGCAGCACGGGCAATGAGAGGAACCGAATCCATTACGAGTATGCCAAAGTCGCGCGTTCAATACTAGTGTCGTGACTATTTCTAATCGTTGCGCCTTGCTATGTCGTACGCTTCGGCGTACTCACTTCAAAATGCTGGACCCGTTGTTTCGTCCGTCAACATTTCATTCGTACGCCAAATTAGTAACACGATTAGTACACCGGCCTAGTACAGAAAGCCAGACTTCGTTGTGTTAATTTCAAAATCCGACCGCCTCATCCGTCAGCATTGCATTCGTACGTCGTTGATTCGTTGTTCGCTCACCCGGGCAGCACGGGCGCGGAGGAGGGCGTGGCGACGGTGAGTCAACTGCAATTCGTTCGTACGCCGAAAGATCGCTATCTCTAATAGTGGGGCGTACTGGTATTATTAATAATTTGGCATACGAATGAGCGAGGTGATGAGAAGGGTCGACTCCAGCGCTTTGAAACGAGTACGGCAAAGGGTTGTTATTTGTATTAGTGTGGCAAATAACTACTTTGTGAATAATTCTAATGAGGGGCTGTCGCTGAGTTGTGCCGTGTTGTTTGCTCACTCGGGCAGCACGGGCAATGAGAGGAACCGAATCCATTACGAGTACGCCAAAGTCGCGCGTTCAATACTAGTGTCGTGACTATTTCTAATCATTGCGCCTTGCTATGTCGTACGCTTCGGCGTACTCACTTCAAAATGCTGGACCCGTTGTTTCGTCCGTCAACATTTAATTCGTATGCCAAATTAGTAACACGATTAGTACACCGGCCTAGTACAGAAATCTAGACTTTGTTGTGTTAATTTCAAAATCCGGTCGCCTCATTGCATTGCATTCGTACGCCAAAATAGCTATTTTGTGAACCTTTCTATAGCTTTCAAATCAGGGGCTTATCGCCGTGCCGTGTTGTATGCTCACCCGGGCAGCACGGACGCGGAGGACGGCGTGGTGACGGCGAGTCATTTGCAATTCGTTCGTACGCCAAAAGCTTGCGTAAAGCTGGAGTACTCCTCGGGCGTACTAGCACTATCAATAATTTGGCATACGAATGACTGACGCGATGAGAAGAGTCTAGTGTAGCGCTTTGAAACGAGTACGTCAAAGGCTCGTTATTTGTAACGAGAGGAACAGAATGCAACATTCAAGTGAGTACGCCAAAGTTGTACTTTCTATACGAGTGACGTAAATAACCATTTTATGAATTTTTTAATCAGAGGCCACGGTTGTGCTGTGCAGTGTCGTACGCTCACTCACGTTCTGTACTTGTGACCTAGGTAACTTTGTGACTATTTCTAATCACGGGGTTATCGTTACGCCTTGCTATGTCGTAAGCTCACCCGGGTAGCACGGGCGCGGAGGAGGGCGTGGCGACGGTGAGCCGGCTGCGGCGCCGGTCGGTGGGCGCGGGCCACACGCCCACGCCCACCAGCACGTCCAGCCCCAGCGAGCGCTGCGCCGCCACCAGCGCCGCCTCCAGGCGCCAGCCGTCGCTCGCGGCGCCCTCGCGGCCCTTGGGCGACGCCCACGACGTGGGCGGCGGCCCCAGCCCCAGGCGCTCCACCGCCGCCAGCAGCGGGCCCAGGCCCAGCTCGTCCAGCATCTCTGCGCAACACGACACACACACTCACATACACGCGCCTCGATACACGCCCGCTGACACGCAAGCGACGTGGGGTCGAGAGGGGATGGTGGTGCTCTTTACATGGTCAATCAGCAGAACAAAGTGCGAAATGGGATGGTTGTGCTCTTTACTAGGTCAATCAGCAGACAAACGTGTGAGATGGGATAGTTGTGTTACTTGGTCAATCAGCTGAACCTGCTGAGAGGAATGGGATGGTTGTCTGCGTCTCTTTACTTGGTCGATCAGCTGAACAAGGTGCTATGAATGGGATGGTTGCGCCCCTTATTTGGTCAATCAGTAGAGCAAGGTGCGTGGGATGGGATAGTTGTACTGTTAACTTGGTCAATCAGCTGAACAAGATGCTAGGGATGAGATGATTGTCTGCGTCTCTTTACTTCGTCGATCAGCTGAACAAGATGCTATGGATGGGATGGCTGTGCTCTTTACTTGCTCAACCAGCAAAAATAAGTGCGAAATGGGATGGTTGTGCTCTTAACTTGGTCAATCAGCAGAACAAAAATTAAAATGGGATGGTTGTGCTCTTTACTTGGTCAATCAGCAGAACACATATTATGATGGGATGGTTGTGCTCTTTACTTGGTCAATCAGCAGAACAAAGTGCAAAATAAGTTGGTTGTGCTCTTTACTTGGTCAATCAGCAGAACAAGGTGCGGGACATGGAATAGTTGTACTGTTTACTTGGTCAATCAGCTGAATAAGATGCTAGGGATGGGATGGTTGTCTGCTTCTCTTTACTTGGTCGATCAGCTGAACAAGGTGCTATGGATGGAATGGTTGTGCTCTTTCCTTGCTCAACCAACAGAACAAAATTTCAGATAGGGATGATTGTGCTCTTTACTTGGTCAAACAAAACAAGGAGAAAAGGATGGTCACTCATTACATGGTCTATCAGCAGCTATGGAGCAAGCCACGAGAGAACGATTCTCTTTACAGTGGATATCGTCAACAAGGAATGATGATTTTACTTCATGTGTGAATCACCACCATATCTGCCTCAAAGAACGAGTGGATATTTTATTTTAAATTATTAGGTAGCAGCTCTGCAACATGTTACGAGAATCACTGTCCACTTTTATGAGGTCAATACGTATCGACTCAAAAAAGCACGATGATTATACTTTTTTAATTCTTCAATCAGAAGATTCTCAACAAGGCACTAGGATAAATGTACTTTTGCATTTGTTCAATCAGCAGTTATTCAACTTAGCACGAGGATGAAGACCTATTAGAACTTTTAGACCTATTAGAACTAGAAGATTAGAAATTTTTACTCTAATCTAGTAATACATAGAAAGAGGTTAGTGAAACTTCGCACTCGAGATTATAGTCGCATTTCTTATAGATTTATGCAGTCGAGATTCTTTGTCTCACACGATCATGTCTCATTCGACCCTGCACAATTTTATTCTTGCTTATAGTTCTGCAACACTTGTGTATTGATATTTAGCGACACTTCTATATAAGACCAATCGGCAACTTTGGCTCCCGTAAATTCGTATGAGACTCACGTATGTCCGTATTGAATAGTGGCACTCTATTTTATCACTCTGACTCTTACTGTCCAACTGCTCAAACGCATGGTCTTCAACAAGGCACGAGGTGATGTTACTTGGCACACTTTTGTCTCACGCTTGAATATGCTCAAGAGGATACTTTGCGCAGATCGGATCGTGACTCATCAGATACTTCACAAACTCATATATCCTTACGCCCATTCAGCAGCTGTGCAAAACGTCACTCGGATGTTGGTTTTCCCTCACTTAAACGGCCCTTAATCTGCTTAATCGCCAGGTCTTCAACAAGACATGAGATTTTCTCTACACCCTTTAGGCGTACGCTTTCTTGTAGTCAAGATAACACTTTGCTCCAAACGAAACATGTCTGATCAGACGCTTCGCACACGCAAACACTTTCTTACGCACGTTCAGCATCTTTGCCACACTCGGATGTTATCACTCTAACACTTATCACACTATTTCACCTGTTAAATCACCAGGTCTTCAACGAGGTACGAGATATGGTGCTCATCACTTTTTGGGCTCACACTTTCATACGCTCAAAACAATATTTTACACAGAACGGAACACGTTTCAGACGATTTACACACATGCACTTTTTAGCACGTCCGACAACTCTGCAACACGTCACTTGGATGTTACTACTCTGACACATAACACAGAATTCCACCTGTTCAATCGCTAGGTATTCACCAAGGCACGAGGTGTGGTATGCTGCACGCGTTGGGCATACGATTTCATACACTCGAGAATACACTTAGCGTAGATCGTCACACTTTTTATCAGATGTTTTACCCGCGCCAAAGCACGGTCTTATGCACGTGTAGCAGCTCTGCCACACGTCACTCGAATATTATCACTCTGACACTCAAAAAACACTTTCTCTTGCTCAATTGCCTAGGCACGAGGTATAGTGATATTATCCGTACACTAGACACTCTATTCATACTATTTCATACTTTGCCCAGAACAGAACATGACTGGACAATCGTGTCACTCACGCACACGATCTTTCTTATGCAAGTCCACCTGTGGAACAAATCACTTGGATGTTATCGCCCTGAAACTGTACACACTCCTTCGTCTGCTCAGTCGCTGTGTATTTAACCACGTGTCAGTCTCTCCCTTGACTCATCGCATCGGCGTAGGGACTGGAAGAGAATCTTCTATTCGCTGGGGCAACAAGACACCGTCTCCATTTCGTTGAGAAAGCCATCGCCAGAAGGCAGCATAATCGCAGGAGGATCTCCTCCCTTTGGCTCCTAAGGCTCCGTTTCCTCTAGTGGCCACTGATGATCTATGAGTTATGGGTGATTATAACAGGGTAGGAGGAAAAACATGGAGGTTCTTCTCTGAGCATTTTCGATAGTTCTCAATTAAAAACGGCCACTTATTTCCTGGAACATATTTTCCTGACTTTTCCCTGTTTTCTAGTGCATGCTCTTGTAATTTTCTTGTTACTCCTGATCTAATTTTTTAATTTTTAATTTATTTATATCTGCTCGACCAGTTGGTCTTACAGAGTTGGGAATACATATACATAATTTTGGAAAATTTCCTAAGTTAATTGTCTTGATCAGGTATAAAAATCATAACAACTCAAACAATGTTTTATGGTGAGGTGAGAAATGGAAGTTTGCGTATTATATTGTTAAGGTTTGGAGGGGTGTTAAAGATGGGTATTGTGAAATAATATGTGGGGAGATTTGAAGCCAGGGGGTCTAAACATATCTATGGGAAAACTAGATTTCTGATAGAAATATTGTTGTTGAGCTTGTTGGCCAAGGTGAAAAAGGATGCGCTCGGAAAGAATGGAAGAAGTGGATAAAATTTAGAGGATAAGTTTATGGATATAAGGTATTTGAAGTTCACGATGAATTTGACCGTTTGCAATAACCAGGGTGCATTAAGAAGTCTGCGAAGGAATTTATTTTTTAAAACTAGGATTGGGTGAGTATTAAGATAAGAATTGATAAATTTACAATATATTCTTACCAAATAAAAAATGAACAAAAAAATTGTTGTTGTAATGTTGTACTATTGTTTTGGTAGGAAATAATCTCTAGTTCTACAATCCTCTCTAAATTTTCGCTCATTTCTAAGGATTCTTCTACAAATTCCATGACTTTTCCGGAGCAATAAAATTCTCTGATTTTATTCGGTTTTCCATGATTTCCAGAACGTAGACTTCCTATCATCAGCGACCATTGCTTACCTGTGTCCATACACGACCGATACAGTCGTCTAGCTTGGTTCACTGACTCCGGATCGCTCTCGGAGTCGTTGGTCTCCAAATAATCTGAAAAAGATTTCACTTTGTGAAAGTTGAAATGACTTCATTGAAATGATTTGAAATGGATTAAAATAAAAGTGAGCTTTATTCCATCGAAAACCTTCTTTGGTATTGTTTAAGTTTTGGTATGTAATTAATGCTATGATTTGATGAAATGATTTTTACCTGTTAGTGATGTAATAATATAATTTCATTTTGTATTGGCCGTTATCCTGCTGTAGACTGAGAGCTTAATCCTTCAAATAGGCTTCAGTTCAGCATCTTAATAACGAGGCATACTTCACAGGTGGCAGTCCAACCCCTATGAAGTGTCCTAAACCCTAACTCTATCCTAATTCCTTCCTAATTCTGGCCGCTGGGTAGTGACGCAGGAGCACGTAGTTAGAGGCGCGTACGCGGAGATGCTACCTGGCGGTCCTCTTCACAACAGACTGCGACGAGACGTGACATTAAAATGCCAAGATAATGTTAATGAATGAATATTCTAATAAATAGCGTGATTATTAATGGAGGATTACTCCGAAAGCGCAAAGCGGTCAACGCCCCCTGGGGCTTGGAGACCGTTGCGTCAATTCAAACTCAAAAAAGCTGTGATTTATTATAAAATAATGTACGACGCGTTTTAGTATTTAACAGCGCCATTTCTGTGGATCAGTTATCTCCATCCTCAGGCAATTAATATCCCTAAATACGTGTACGATGAATGGAATATGATGTGGCAGCGTTCTGTCAGTTAGACCAGGCGCGGATCCACAGGGGGGGGGAATGAGGGAAATTTCCCCCTCTAAAACTGTTCAGTAACTATTGATTTTAACTTGTCACGAGAATTTCAAGCAAAAATATTTTCGTATTTTCAATAAAACGAATAAAATCGCAACACAGCATGAGCTGAGTCTACCCCGCAACGTGTTACAGAATTTGTAATACAAATATTCGAACGAACTTTCTTATTTGCTGTGCCTCACCCTGTATCTGCTGGTTGACGAGCGTGCTGCTCTCGAGGTTCGAGAACCCAATCGACGTCGTGGATTTTTAAGGGCGAAAAAATCTTTCGTACGCCTTTCTTCGAAGGGGAAATAAACTCGGCTGTCCCATGTTAGTAGATTTACTGAATGAGAATGATACTCGAGCCTAAATGAGGCCTCTGAGCTAAAGTCGAATCGCCTGTTTCGTGGTCCAATAAATACATCTTTTCTCTTTTCTAGTTGGTGAAAGGAGCGTAGCGAAATTGACGTGGTCAGAGCAAGCTTCATTGTCTGAATCTCACCATGTAAAATAAGATATTCAATTCAATTCAATTCAAAATGAGCGACTCGTTACTTTTTAAAAATGATACTGAACTGAAGTCTACTTGTTGAAGTCTTTCTTACTTGCTATACCTCACCCTGTATCTGCTGGTTGACGAGCGTGCTGGTCTCGATGAACCAGTCGTTGCTGTAGGCGGCGTCCGGCAGCGGGTGATCCTCGGCCCAGCGCCCACACGCGAACTTGTAGAAGTCGTTGCAGGGCTCCACCGACGTGTCCATCGACTGGATCAGGTTGTCCGCTGCGCACACAAACACACAAACTTAGCCATCTATTGGTGCATTTACGTATTTATTTGCTTATTTTACTTATTTATTTAATGAACTTTCAAAACATTTTCGTACGTTCGTTCGAAAATTTGTACGTTGTGGTTTTGTGGTGATACAATAGCACACGCTTTCTCGCATTACTGATAACATTTGTCAATTTTCGAAAATTCAGACACATCAACGATGATCAGACCTTTGGCAATTTTCTAAGCGTACTTTGCTCTGTCTGAGAAGAAGAAAAAATCAACAAAGACACATGCAGCTGTTTTTTGAGAAAATCTCGTTTTTAAAATTGCCTCTAAGTCAATCAAAATTATGTAAACACTACCCATATGTTTGGGAAATTCTACATGACCTCATTTTAATATCTAATTTTGAAGAATAGATTTCATTGAAAAATTTTTTTTCTTCAATATTGTAATTGCAGGAAGACGCCGAGGAAATTTTTAACTTTTGCAATTTTCGAAAATTCAGTACGTTCAGCAAAAAATCAGACTTGCGCCATTTTTATAAAGTACTTTGCTTTATTCCATAAAACGGAAAGAAAGAAATTTGGTGCAATTGTTTTAGAAATACTGAATAATTTAAATAACAAAAAAATGTATTAAGAGAAAAAAACAAAATATTTTTCGCATCAAATTGCAATCCCCCAAAATTTAACGTTTTCAAATCATTGTTTTAAAAGCGAAAATAGCTACATACTGCAACACAACTTTCAGCGTTTCTTGTAACCCATGTTACGAGGGGGGGGGGACCTTCCAATTCAAAAAGATCTCATTCTGTAAGTTTACAAGTTCAGTGGTAGCAGGTGGGGCGGGATGCGATCGAAGCCGTGGATTTTTAAAAATCCTTCGTGCGTATTCCTTCGAAAGGGAAGTAAAGCCGTCCGTCCTTTGTAGTTAATTGTATGTAAAATATTCGCAAGCCTAAAAGAAACCTCTGAGCTAAATTATAAATCGCCTGTTTTCTCACCCGAGTAATTCCGTCTTTCTTCACTAGATGGTGTAAGGAGAGAAGCGAAATTTGCGTGGTTAGACGGAAGAGTAGACCTGATGGCCCTAATCTCGCCATTACCATATAAAATAAAGCATGAACCAACTAAACCTTGTCGACATAAGAATCGTAACTTGTGACCATAGGCATTAGCACAGTTCATGTTCAATTCTTGGAAAATATGAGTAGTTTTTTTGTGTAATTTGGTGCGAAATATAGGCAATTAAAATTGACATAATTCCTCAAAAATCCATTTTTTTAAATGTTTTCACGGATAGAAGAAGGGACTCTTAAAGTAATTACGCGAATCTCATTATCGTCGAAATCACTGAATTTTCGAAAATTGCCACTTTAGACATAATGCGAGAATGTAACTGCTGTTAGAGCAACACTTGTTTTATTTTACTACGACAATTGCAGCCTAATTGACACAATATAAACAACCGACTAGCCGACGGTAGGGTTGCGCAGGATCTCGCCATTAAGCGGGAGAAGATCACCGCTACCTCACGAGGGGGAAAACATGCACTACACTTACGGAACTAACGACCTCGATAGTTGACGCGCCCGGAATCACTAACAACCAACCAACCATCTTTCAGTGGTTAAATGACGCTGAGTTCCTAGGGTCCCGGGTGATCCGGCAACCTCGCCAACCAGCGATTAGTTTCGGCTGGTGGAGCGCTCGCTTCCCAGGAGGCAGGAGAATCGCACGCAACAGTCGCACGACACGCGCGACGCTCGCAAATGCCGGTCATTTGAGTCGAAGGTGGGCCGTTTTCAGAACTGCCATCTTCTTCAGTGCCAATAGCATACAAGTCCCAGGCATGTGAGGAAGCTGGTCATTTTCTTATTGTGATTTAGTAGACTGTGAGAAAATTGAACGTGGCGTAAAGGGTCATAATCTACTGCCTTTTTTGGGCAAAATACTGCTTTTTGTTAGTAATTTCGCTTGTGAAATATTAAGGATAACCATGGAAATATTTCCTGTTAAAAAGTTGTGAGAAACTGAAGAAAATTGAATGATTGCAAGTTTGCATAGTTTGGCGTTTTGCGTGTTTTATTACTTTCTTGTACAAATAGTATTGAGCGAGTACTAAGTCATGCTGCAGAAAATTTATTTGGCGGAATATATGTTTTCGTGGCCCCTGAACATGAAAGTTTATTATTATTATTATTATTATTATTATTATTATTAATATTATTAAAACTGCTTCGTCCGTCCGTCCGTCCGTCCGTCAGGTAGTAGTGATCTTCTACAATAGTGCAGAAGATATTCTCGGAATTAATACTGCCTGTTCGATCTGTCCAAATTGGACGCCCTGCTTAACTGTAAAGGATATTGGAGGGACGTATTTTCAATTTTTTCCTTAAAAAAAGGATACAAATTATACTGTAGAATATTGCCTTTATAAATATTGAACAAATCGGATTTTCTTTAAGAAATCTGAAATTTCAAGAATTGCACACGTGCATCTTCGAACCATTTTCATACCTTCGTTATTGAAGCTAAGTATTCCTTTAGAACAGGATATTTAAATCATTTCATGCACCTTTTCCAAAATATGAATAGATTTCGAGAAATTTTGTGCCAAATCGTGATAATTTTCCTAAAATCAAACACGATTCCAACTTTTGTCTTGAAACGTTCGTAAATAAAAATTACAGAACACCGAATTCTGTCACTAGTAGCATTCCCATTAAAAGGTTTAAATAAAAAATATATATGAATTTTTTAGATCCTACATCCTTTTTTGGTGAAGAGAGTCAAATGATGGCCGAAGTATTAATTGCATACAAATAGCAATTCTGTAAGATTGTGTAACCGTCTATTCTATTAAGTATATGCTGTTACAGTTCCTCTAGTTTTTGAGAATTATTAGTCATTTATTGTTAATAAAACTAAAATATTACGTAAGGGTAAATAATTTAAAAAGTCATTTAAGATTGATTGATAAATTATATAGACAGAAGGTACATATGCCATATTTAAAGTTATTTACTTGTTTTTTAAATACAAAACATTAAATTAGTCATTTGATTTGCAAAGAACTAATCACGATACATTACGGGAAGCAATTTTCATTAAGTAACAAGACCGATTATATTTACACTGCAGAGATAAATGAATTAAAATTAAAACCTTGTATTTTTTAAATTAGCATTTTTACTTCCTTTCAATAAATAAATACTAATGAACTAATCACAAAATTTTCATATCTAAATTTAAAAAAAAACTAAAAGTAATTTGTTATATTTGTTAAGCAAGATTTATCGGTGATCTTTTTTCATTAGACTCATCCAATCACTAGAACCCACTCACTACATCACCGAATAAGAAAATAATAACACATAATATACATTTATGTGTCATGGAAGTGAAATGCGATGAGATGGAAACATTAATTTTATACCTTTCTTCTGCTTCAGAGAGAATTCGAGCTTGAGCTCCACACGAAATCCTACGTCTGAAAGAAAACCCTGTGAACCTGACGTCATCACTTGCATTATTCAACAGCGTTACCCAAGGCAAAACTATAAGGTTAGCATTAATTTCCATGGAAACGGTTATTTGTCTCCTTGCCCGTCTGTCCTGACCCAGCCTAACGGCCCGTGTCTTCCATCTTGAATCAGCTCCCTATGTAGCAACCGCCTGAGCATAGCTCAGAACCAGCATATCCGCTGTCTCTGCAGCGTCTCTGACAGGAAGGTTCTGAGTTCGAGTTCCAGTGGTGGCAGATTTTCGACACTGGCTTATCGGCTAGGTCGAGTTCAACCGCTGTGTGGAGGAGAATTCTAGCGGCCAGTTGCTCTGATAGATAGTTTTCCGTAGTTTCTCCGATCAACTCCAGGCGAATGCCGGGGCAGTCCGGGCCACGGACGGCGCGTGATTTATCCTTCCCCTTCCTTGTCCTTTCCTTATCCCTTGGACCCCCACACACTTAGACCCCTACTCTACCACATGCCGGGAGATCGGTCTGGAGTTTAGAGTTTGTACCGACTGAGGCGGTACCCCGCTGGTAGGGAGACACTTGGAAGTTCTCGCAAACCGACGTCAAGGTCGGCGTCGGATTTCAAGATCTTTCGGAGGAGGATCTCCACCACCCCCAGGATGAAGCACAAACTACATTAACGGGTCTAATGACCATGGCAGTGGTCGTGCCCGAAAAATCAGTACATTTCAACTTATATATCAACGATTGGGGGGCTTAAAAATCTCCATATTTTAAACAATAAAGGTTTCCTGAAGACCCGAGTTCGATTTCTGGTCAGATTAACACTCCTTTGAACAATTTGAAGTATTAAAATACATCCGTTACAGAGTAATATGTTCGCATCATGTAAACATTCATTGTGCAGAACATATTTCTGAATTAATTGCCTTTCCAACAAAGGTGGTGAGAATTCATTAATAACGGTTTTTGTGTAGAATGTCATTTGAGCTTTCTACTCATCCGAATTTTGAGATTTTTTTCATTAAATGTAAAGTATTGAGCCCTAAAAGTGTCATCACTTGCTATTATTAATTATTGCATAAGTGGTTCAGCGTATTCGGACATATCTCCGAATCCGGCTAATTTGCGAAATAGCTAATTAATTCACTCCTTAGTCAATGTGGTTTGATAAATTCCGAAGTAGGAATAGCTTCAAATTCATAGGCGTTGGCCGGTTAATGGACATTCAATCAACATGAAGTGCCTAGAGTTAATGAAATACGTTACGATATCAACGATTACCACATGTAATAAATCGGAATCAGATTGCTAGGTAAATTTCTAAGGTTAGTAAGAGAGACGTGTGCCCAGTATTCGGACCGACGACGTCATTGATCAAGTGAACCAAAAACTTTTTAGTGGTCAGCGATTGACAATTTGTAGTCTATCTAATGAAATCCTCCAAATTGGTCGAACCTCAATTTACAGGATTGTCACTGAACAGCTTGGATATCGGAAACTTTGTGCGAAATGGATGTCAAAAA